CCCCAAAACCCCAAAACCCCAAAACCCCAAAACCCCAAAACCCCTTCAACATTATCTCTATTTGAAATCTAAATTCCTTCTCCATTCAGGAATTAAAAATGTGTTCTTCTTCCTGCTGAACCTCTTGGGTCGCCCATTCCTCCTCCAGATCTTCCACCTCCATATGTATATCTATCGTAAGTTCTGTATTCAGCCTTGGCTGGGTAATTAGCACCACCTCTTAAATTTGCTCTCTCGTACTCAATGTTCTTATCTGCATCTATTCTGTAAGCACCATAGTCTAGGTCAACTTTTTCATGCGCTTCAGCATCATGAGTTGCCCAATTAGATTTCTGGTGAGCATTGATCCAGTCTGTTGACCCCACAGGAGCTCCCTGAGTGGCATCAAGCAAGCTAGTCTTGACCTTCTTCCAGAAATTGCTAATCTTTGATACTCCTCCTTGAGGAGCCTCGAACCGTCTGTTCATCACGTCAGTTCCGTACCAATCAACAGTAGAGAGGTTAGTGAGGGATTTTCCACCATCAACCTTTAGAATATGGCCAGTGATCCTCTTTGCTCTATCTGATGCAAGAAAAACGATAGCTTTAGCCACTTCTTCTGGGAGAGCAACTTTGTGCATCGGATTGGTATCCTTAGCTCTACTTTTCATTGCATAAAACTCAGTTTCGGTTAGACCAGAATACCTGAAAAGGTTTGTATCACAGAGAGATGGAGCGACAGCATTCACTCTGATTCCTAGAGGAGCCAGCTCAAGAGCTGCTCATTTAGTAAGCATCTCTAATCCTGCTTTAGACATCGCATATGAAATCAATCCTTGAGTTGGTCTGTGTCCGTTGATGCAGCTTAGATTTATTATTCATCCTCCTGATTTTTCTAAGAAGGGCTGGAAAAGAGAAATTAGATGAAATGGGAGTCTCAAATTGATATCACATAGATAATCAAAGTCTTGTGGAAAAGTTCTCTCAACATCACCTTCAAAAATAGCTCCTGCTCAGTTGACCAAAATATCTAGACCTCCAAATTTTTCTATTACTCCGCCAGCCATTTCATATTGTTGCTTATCATCAGCGAGGTCTCAATGAATAACGATGGCTTGGGATGGAAAGTCTCTTCCAATATCTGTAAGAGATTCTTTATCTCTTCCTACTAATCCAACTCTTGCACCGTTATTCAAAAACCAATAAGCGAGACATCTACCAATTCCACTTGAGGAACCAGTTATCAGAACTCTTTTATCAAGGAAATAAGGTTTGACTGAAGTTCCTGGGGCTACTCTGCTACTTCTGCTCTTATCTCCCCTGCTTTTCCTTGAAGTCGCTCTTGAATAATCAATCTCTTCTTCCTCAAGATCAAAATCTCTTCTCATTTTACTTAAATAAATATTCAGCGTTATTAAATTTTAAAGGGGTTTTGGGGTTTTGGGGTTTTGGGGTTTTGGGGTTTTGGGGTTTTGGGG